TAGATAGTTGTATGTCATAGCTGCACATCCTTCTAGTTGCTGTATGTGGGACGCGGCCTCAGCATGGCCGGAGAGGCAGTGCGTTGGTGCGCGCCCGGGATCCGAACCCGGGCCGCCAGCAGTGGAGCGCGCACACTTAACCGCTAAGCCACGGGGCCGGCCCTTGACATGGATTTAGAAAGGCATTTTAGGCAGGCATTCTAAATGCATGGGTAATCTTGGGGGGATGTCAAAGAAAGAAGGACATATGATTACTTTCATTCGTCTCCTTTGCCAGGCAATGTGAGTAATGGCTAGCCACTGCACCCAGAAGGTGAAATATGAACAATTTTTTTTAAAGGGAAAAAAAAGCTGGCGTGGTTACTGAGTCTAAAATTAGACCTTTAAGCTGTGTGTTGGTTAGCAGGTGTGGGTGTGTGATGGGAAACCAGATGTCATTCTGTCCCTGTGCATGGCCTCTCAGCTCAATTCAGAGAGGGGCTCAAAATGGGTTCCCTGTAGAATCTGACTAAGCCTTGCTCTCCGTCTTTTTTGCGTAGATCCAATTTTGGTTTCCTGTTCATGTCTCTGCAGTTCTGGCACATTCTCGGGCAAGAACTACATCGGTCTTTCCCCTTGTCTGCCTTATCACGCATGTGGGTATTTCTGTAATGCTGTCTTCCTTTGTTAACTTCATTGGATGTTTTCTTCCTGCAGTTTTTATGGAATGGAATTTACATCCTTTTCAGAAGGTAGAGTGATGTGTTGTTTTTCACTCATCTCACTTTTCCAGGGTCCAGCTTGGTATTCCATGCCTCAGAGAAGTCCTACACTTATTCTATTTCTTCTCCTCTATCAATTAGGCTGCTTTTCACAGCCAATAGCAGATACCCTGACTCAGATGATACCAGCCATTGCTTATATATGTTTATTTACTATGTGCCAGGCACTATTCTAAGTGCTTGATATATGTATATATATGTGTGTATGTATATACACACACACCTGCATATGTATGTGTGTATGTGTATATATATTCATTTAATGAAAAAATATATAT